AATTGTACTACAGAATCACAGGTAGGTTTCGGACAGTACAACACTAATTTTACTACATAACCACAAGTAGGTTTTAGACAGTATAACACTAACTTTACTACAGAACCACAGGTAGGTTTCAGACAGTACAACACTAATTTTACTACATAACCACAAGTAGGTTTTAGACAGTATCACACTAATTGTACTACAGAATCACAGGTAGGTTTCAGACAGTACAACACTAATTTTACTACATAACCACAAGTAGGTTTTAGACAGTATCACACTAATTGTACTACAGAATCACAGGTAGGTTTCGGACAGTACCACACTAATTTTACTACAAACCATGGGTAGGTGTCAGACAGTACCACACTATACTTACTGCAGAACCACAGGTAGGTTTCAGACAGTACCACACTAATATTTACTGCAGAACCACAGGTAGGTCTCAGACAGTACCACACTGTACCCAGCATCTCGTAGTGGGTCAGTGGTAATTTTATGGACTTATAGTGCTAAAATCTGGGGTTAAATTTCCCACAGTGGACACAGCAGATAGCCCAACATGGTTTTGCTCTAAAACAACCAAACAAACAGAACCCAACAGCGATTATACACCTCCAAACTTCACTCAAAATAATACATTTATTAAGCTTTATACTTAGTATTATCTCCCAGTGTTTCAATTATTTTTTGCTGGGAAAGCCACTCAACTATCATTTATTTTGCCTGGAAATGAAGCAACACAATTCAAAATCTGTCAAACTTCTTTAAGTAAAATTTGAAATAAACTCAAGGGGTTTTTGATTAACTTTAGCTTCAAACAGTTATTACTATGTTAACTCATTAGAAGCTTATGGTTAAAATGAAAACTATGACACGGTGCAAACTTAGTAACCTAAAGTTACCCGCAAGTATCAGCTCCCGTGAAACAGTTTCACCATAAATTTTCAAACTGAATTTAGAAACTCCGTATTTTAAATATATTTTTTAATTCCTGTAGTCTAAAATGTGATAATAAAATAACTATTCAGAGTTCAGTAGAAAATTATATAATATTTTCTTTATAATTAAATAATTTTAAAAAGTTTAACTTAAAAAGAGCTATTTCTGTTATCAATGTTTCTTTTCAATGAAAGAAACCAGACTCGCAAGGAGGCACAATGATTTTAAGATTTACTCCCCTTCTTGGCTAATTATTTAATACTAAAAACATTTAAAACAATACAATTATATATACAAAATGTTCAATAAAAATCATTAAAATATTCAAATTAGTAAAAAAAAAAGTCTGAGCATTTTCATAATTACATTTTTTGCTTTTTGTTTTCCTTAATTGGATTTTATCTATACATCTAGAGTGAACTTGACACTGTAGTTATTGTAGTTTCACTTAAGCTGACCTTAAGTTTATATATATGAATTAGTAAATCACTGTGAAAGACTTTTATTATTTTTTCTGTTAGATGCACCTTAATCATTTGATGTCTAAAGTGTACTCATAACATTTGTTTCATAACAGAGGCTGTTGAAGAACAGTAAACCGGGTCAACTGTACGTCATTGTTTGTGATGTGGTTAACACAGGAATTCCGTACAGTGACACCTTCTCTGTAAAGTCGCACTACTGTTTGACGAGGGTAACCAATAACCAGTGCAGGCTTTGTGTCCACGGCAACATTTATTACAAAAAATCTGTATGGGGACTTGTCAAATGTAAGTAACAACTACAAAGCTGTTTATTAAACCAGATAATTACTGTTTGACATACAGGTTCAGTAAGCATTAGTAACTGGTTTATTTTGAGATTATTGTAACTTTGGACAGTTTTTATCATCTGTTTTTCAACAGTGCATGGGTACTTGAGAGATTTAATGAAAAATATGCCTTTATACAAAGGGATTCTATAAATTCATTACTTTTTGAATCAAGACTGTTAAAACTTACTGGTATTATTCACCATTAAAGACACATTCACCTGTTTTGTTTGTATAGTATTTATGTATGAAGCACATTTTGATAGATAGGTAGTGGCAGTAGTGCTAGAAACATGTTTCTTGAAATTTAAAAACCCATCTTGAAACAAGTAAACTTTTCTTGGGAGTGAGGCAAGTAATTCTTTCTGGGTTTAACAAAGAAAAAAATTCTAGACCAAGGAAATATTTTAAAATATTTTCTTAAGTTTAGAACATTTTCACTTGAAACACCCATTTTTAAAAAGTTGGGAACATATTTTTCTAAAAGGGAAGATCTTCTATCTGCTGTTCCAATATTTTTGCATAAATTATCAATAAAAGATACCTGAAATCAGCTTATAACTGTTGTACACCATAATTGGAAGGGTATCGTGTAGCTGCTACATTGATTAAAGTTTCAAACTGAAATTTAGAGATTTCACAATGATGAAATCTGTGTTGTGTTGGTCCACAAACATGATGGACTCTTCTGTTGTGTTGGTCCAAACATGGTGGACTCCTTTAACCAACAAATATGCATACATATCTTTGGGTAGTGAGGAAAAATAAAAGGTTAATTCTCTCATGGATCAACTTTTCTATGTACAAATGAACTCATGATGTATTAAACTAATCCTTCAAATAAAGATTATAATGGTAGAGAAATAATAACGTTGCAATTGAATCTAAAAACTGCTGGCAGAACAGCAAAAAAATAGTACTAACAACTTTAAAAATGCATATTTGCAACTATTCACAATGCATTTTGGGACTATTTTTATTCCTAGAAATGCTTCCTTGCCTCGGGTAGTTATGATAGTTTTCTCACGTTTTCTAGATATTTTTTAAAAACATTTTTAAAACTAGAATCTTTTTTTTTCTGGAAAAATTATACCAAACTTCAAAATGTTTCAACAATATTTTGAACAAATTTCTTAAATATTTCTAATATTAAGAAATAGTAATTTTTTTTTCTAATTTATGGAAATTATTTTTGGCATTGTAAGGTTTATGTTAATATAGAAACGATTGTTTTTATGGAACAAATAATCTTACATTTGTTTGTAATAATTTCAAAACCAGGGATGAAGCAACAAAATAAGAGTTATTCTTACATGTAGGAAAGGAACAACAGCATTTTACTTTGGAAATATGGTATTCAATTTTCACAAAATAAAACTATCAGTTTTCTGTGATGCAGTACATAAAATATGTTAATTTCTCTCTAATCAATCTACTTATCAGACTCGTGTTTTAGCTTTGTGTCAATATTTATTAAACTTTCCAAAATGGAAATACATTTGTGCTATACTAAAATATTTTACACTTGTTTTTAGCTCTCATAGAGAAAAGTGCAATTCAAGGACTTCATGACTTCTGTGTGGACTTGGGTAAGTAGATTTAATGTTTTACTGGTTTGTAAGAAGTAACCTTTAAATAATTGAGTCTACATGAGTTCTGTGTGAACTTAGATAAGTAGATTTAATGTTTTACTGGTTTGTAAGAAGTAACCTTTAAATAATTGAGTCTACATGAGTTCTGTGTGAACTTAGATAAGTAGATTTAATGTTTTACTGGTTTGTAAGGAAGTAACCTTTAAAGAATTGAATCCCTTATATCTGGCATGTTCTGAGATTTTTTAAACTGTGCTTAATTGTTAATAAGGCAAGTCAATTCACAAAAGAAGGGATCTAAAATGGAATTTTGGGACTTGGATTTGACATTGAAAGTGGAATTATAATTTTCAGGTATATCCATAACAAATCATTATTTTTGATATCTGTTAATGTTGTGCCACTATTAGGCACGTGTCGTTAAAGCTGTAATAGTTTTACCCTATTGTACCATGTTCTAGTTTTCCATTTATCAGGGAGGCACTGTGATGTAAATGGTTTTGCGTTATTTTAGCACCAGGTATTCACCGTTTGTCAGAGGTGATCGGTCTTCAGTATTTAGCCAAAGATTTATCCAACGTGGTTGGTTTTTGATTTTTACATGCTTTAAGAGTTATTTAACAGTAGGCTGAATATTTGAATAATTTTTTTTCTGTGATATTGAATGAACATTCATTTCAAGAGGTATAACAAATTATTCAATTCGTAATGCCACTAGTACTATTAAATGTTGGTTTTCTTAGCTAGAGTTGTAGTGTACTTTGTTAATAAATGCTAATGTTTTAATTTTAATAGAATTTCACTCAAAATTGATGTTAATTGTAAATTGTCTTGCATGCTACATAATGAATGAATAGTTACCAAAAAAAATAGTGCTGTTGTTGTGGTAAGTAGAATTAGGTGTTTAGGGTGAAAAAGAATTTCATGAAATTTGGCATCCAGTAAAATGGAAAGTGAATTTTTTAAATAAATTACTGGCAGTACTCATTGATCTAGATAGAAATTGTTATAAGATAGCAGAAATTGGTATCTTAAGAAAGTAAACTGTGTACTCATTTCCCATAATCTCTATTTTTACCTTATTTATGCGTATTTTCAATATTAATCATTGCATATTTTGACTGCTAGGATAAAGATTAGTCTAATAGAAGTAGTCTTTATTTTAGATCATTTTATGGCTAGTACCTCGTCTATTTACTCTAAGCAGATGTTATGAAAGGCAACAGATAGAGTTAGTACTTTGTGTCACTAACGTACAGTATTATTGGTCATCGACTACTTGTAACTACATAGTCAAGCAGTGTACATGACACCTATTTTTTGATATTTAGGTTCTGTATTTGAATCCTACAGTTAATAGATTTGCACCTGAAATTGGGTGCATATATAGCAGGATATTGTTGTGTTGGCTCTATGTTGGTTAATAGATTTAAAAAAATACAATAGGATTATGGAAGGCCAAACAGAAATGATTATAACCTTTTAACATTTCTCAACTTAGTGTGCAGAAATCAGCAAAAACTGTTAAACTTTTGAGAAGAAAAACTTTTTTTCCCCATGTATTTAAAATCATCATTTGCATTTACTGTAGCTTAAAGTTCAGTTTGAACTATTAGAATTTTTATCTCAAAATTTAGGAAAAAAAGTTATCTTTGTTTTAAACCTGACGGTAGTTTTCCGGCCCTTTCCTTTACACAGAACATTGCTCTTGTTTCCATGTTACCATACTGTTTATCAATGTATGATTGGGGAATGTTGTTCCAAGTATTGTCACGTAATACCTCTCACAATTCAGCTAAGTTATTTAATTGCCTTTGACTTGCTCAGTTCTTACGTAAACCCATTCTAGCTTCAAACATTTTAATTTCGGTATTTTGTACAGGCCAAGCCATGATTGGGGACATTTCATTGGTCTCTTTTACTATCAAATTAATGTTTCACCACATTTGTTGCATGTGTGAGACCACTGTCTTGTTGGAAGATTAATACCTACCAGATAGCATGATAAATCAGAATTTGCCTTTGCCTGTTAGCAGTCAGGATGCCATCAGTTATATGTAGATCATTGACACTGTTGGCTGAGATGTAGTTGGAAACTTGTACTGGATATGTTTTACTGTAGATGTTGTATATTTACTACGATACTGTTATTGATTGTCGCTGTACAATTCACACTTAGATTCATATTTACAGCAAAGATGTTTGTAAGGTCTATCCTCATCTGTTAATCATCTTGTGAGGAACATAACCTGAGATACTTAACATCACTTTTGTACCTTGACTTATTATTAACAGTGCCAGTTTCCTGTACCCTGTCATCAGTTTGTGCTTTTGTTTTACAGTGATCTTATGAATGTGTATTCTTGTTTATCATTTTTTGGATTACTCCTACTAATTGCACTTCATTTGATAATGTAAAATTTCAGATCATATGGTTATTTTTCTATTTGTATTATTTCTCTGACTACAGAGGTTGCCCTCAACAAAGAAGCTGACTTGGTGAATCAACAATCAACAAAGAAACCAAGACGGCGGAAACGAGGCAAGCCTGTTGAATTTTCCAAAGTAGATTCTCACAAGGAATTATCAAGATCACTACATACACAAACATCTGTCAGGAGGTTGAGTAAGTGTTTAAAATGAAAACTATAGATTAATATAGTTACACAAGATCACTACATACACAAACATCTGTCAGGAGGTTGAGTAAGTGTTTAAAATGAAAAACTATAGGTTAAAATAGTTACACAAGATCACTACATACACAGACATCTGTCAGGAGGTTGAGTAAGTGTCTAAAATGAAAACTAGGTTAAAATAGTTACACAAGATCACTACATACACAGACATCTGACAGGAGGTTGAGTAAGTGTTTAAAATGAAAACTAGGTTAAAATAGTTACACAAGATCACTACATACACAAACATCTGTCAGGAGGTTGAGTAAGTGTTTAAAATGAAAACTATAGATTAATATAGTTACACAATATCACTACATACACAAACATCTGACAGGAGGTTGAGTAAGTGTCTAAAATGAAACTATAGATTAATATAGTTACACAAGATCACTACATACACATACATCTGTCAGGAGGTTGAGTAAGTGTTTAAAATGAAAACTATAGATTAATATAGTTACACAAGATCACTACATACACAGACATCTGTCAGGAGGTTGAGTAAGTGTTTAAAATGAAACTATAGATTAATATAGTTACACAAGATCACTACATACACAACATCTGTCAGGAGGTTGAGTAAGTGTTTAAAATGAAAACTATAGGTTAAAATAGTTACACAAGATCACTACATACACAGACATCTGTCAGGAGGTTGAGTAAGTGTCTGAAATGAAAACTATAGATTAATATTGTTACACAAGATCACTACATACACAAACATCTGTAGATTAATTTAGTTACAGTTCATGTCACACTTTTTCTCAAATATAAGTAAACAAACTGGTAATAGTTTATAAAATCTGAAGCCTTATTGTTGCTTCAAGATAACTTGAGTTTCAAAGTAGAAAAGTATTTTTATTTATCTGCTGGTGTAGATAGTTTTTATGTACAATGAAATTTGAATTAATCATAATTAATTACTTTATATTT